GCTATATCTTTTGATAGCCGGGCACCATCAGCTTTCTTCACCACATTTGCTTATTCAACCGCTTTGTCTTCAGCGGTTGTGTCGGGAAGGTGAGCGTCATAGAATGCCAATTTACTAGAAGAAAGTATTCTTGTGTTGAGGGAGTACTTGAGTGGAGGCCCAATGTCCTTCTGCTACCTTAATGATTTAGAATTCTTTAAAATGGAAATTTTGCTCTAAAATGAAAACTTCTGAAAAGCAAGAAGAGATGTAACCCCCTCTGGCCTTACTGATCTTGTTCCAGCCCCTCCTGACCACTGGCCATGAGCCTGTAATGGGAATGTGCGTCCAAAGAACACAGAAAGGCTTAGCAGAGTAGATGTGGGGTAGAGTAGAACTGCTCCCTGGGGTTTTGGGGCTGTTGTCTTGACAGATACGAATCGCCAGCACTTTCTCCTGTGGGGCTGCTGGGTAGGTTTGAACCTCTAACTCTGTGGCTGGTAACTGAGTACAAGCTACCGTGCCACCCAGGTTCCTGCTAGATTACATAGGTTCCTTTAATCTCTTCTGATTTCTAAGGGAAATTCATTTCATGATGTTCATGTACATACACACTTTCACCTACCGGTTCCAGAGACAAGTAACCTGCATTCTCCTCTTTCACCTATTTCCCTATGGACATCACACTCCCGTACTATACTGTAGAACTTAACACTTTCAACATTTCATGTTATTAGTTTTCTCTTCCCAACCACTTGGGGTGAGGCTCAATTGTGGATGAATAAACTGGGGATCAAGGAGCTGAGCCAATTTCTTTTGTGCTCACGCAACGCTCCTTACAGATTCTCTGTCCATTCAACACACCCTTCCTTCAATCAATAGCAGAAAGTGCTCTTTTGGTACATGGCAAACTTCAAAGGGTCTAGCTGCCCAAAGTGCACTCGGAGGCGGTGGGCAGTGGTGGGGAAGTGAAATTACTTGGAATGTCTTTTCTATTCCTAGTCTTTGTAACTCCCACCCAATAACTAGGTGGAGGATGCAAATAAAGTGTAGAGGACTCTAACTCAGGGACTGGCCAATTTTTCCATTCTACTGAGCATAAAGCGAGCCATCTCAGAGGCAGGAGCTGAGAATCCCATGACCATCAACAGAGAAGAGCCAAGAGTGGAATGCACTTGATGTATAGGATGTACAAGGATGTATAGAGAGGCAGCAACAGTATAGAGAGGTACTCAGAATGGCAGGTTTCTCCGTCCATGGACTGAGTGGCCTAAATAGTAGGGCGCCCTTTGAGTTTTTATCAGTGCTAAAAGAGCTTTGTAAGACCTGCAGAGGCCAAGAACCAGATGGAGGCATGCTTGCTGGCAAGGCTGAAAAGAAAAGCCTTAGGCAAACCCCCCCCCACAAAACTGTATCCTAAATATTTCTCATCCTGATATGTAGCTTCCTAAGCTTTCCTATTAAAGCTCCATCATCGTGCACATTGTCTGTGAATTCTGTGTAGCCATCACATTGGGTTATCAAACCCAGCAGAGAGGCAGGGGAGGGACGGTTGGGGTCAAAATAGGGTCAAGCAGGTTGGAGGGTGGAGGTCTGTCTGACCTCTGCCTCCAAGGAATCATGCTTGGGCAGTTGCAGTTTGCTCCCAACATCCTGTGCACCCAGAAGAGGCCAGAAGTGGAGTTCATGCATTTCCTTGGAGAGCTATTCCAACCTCATCTAGGAAGGGACAGTGGACGCCACTCTCTTTCAGAGATATGAAACCTGCACTTACAGTTCTGTGAGTGGCTGTGCTGGGCTGGCCCAGCTCTCAAGAGAGAATCAAATGAATTTTCAGGCAAGGGTGATTTTATCCTAAAGCAAGCGTCCCTACTAAGTGAGGCCCTTCTGAAGGAACAAAGTTCCCAACGCCTGACACGTCTGTGCCCACGCCTCCTCCTGAACATCTGACCCGGCTTCTATCGGCTCTTCCCTGTCCAGGTCAGGCTTTGGAGGTTTCACACTCCTTCTACAACCTCTTAGAATATACTTCTTTGAACTGTCAGTGTGTCATGAAAACAATTTAGTAGGTCAAAAGCCGCCATTAAAAATAAAATGGAATAGAAAAATATCAGGTCCCATGAAGACAGGTAAATAATGCTTTGTGACCTGTGTTTCATAAACACAGAAACATGCACTCGTTTTGATATATAAACATTAGTCAAGACGCAAAATGTCCTTTGACCGCGGATCAAGATAAAGTGTGAGCTATGACTTCATTCACTCCTAGAACTTCGGCCTATCACTTGCTCCGGAGGGCCTTCAAGTCTAGTGTTGACAACCCAGGAGTTAATCTTGAGTTGGTGTCGTGCATTGAAACGACCCATTGGGCACACACATATAGACTGGTCCCACAGGCGTCCTTTGTACGTTACTAATTGACTGTGTCCTCATTCAGCAAAGAGAGTCCAGATTCCTTACTGTCACCAAGCTCACAGTCTTATAGGGAAGGCTAGGAAAACAGGAGGTGACGTGAAGTGGTGAGGGCAGAAAGCTGAAAGGAATTCTGTGTGTCTAGGTGGTTTTCCAGTGTGCAAGGAGGAAATAGCTGCTGCTGGACGGGGTCCCAGGGCCCCAGGGTGGAAAGCCACTTAGGTCACAGTAAGTGTAGGAGTTTATCCTTTCTCCTGAAGACAAGGGCAGCCCATGGAAAGATTTAAGTAAAGATAAACAAGACTAGTTTTGCGGTTAAAACCTACCGTATATACTCGAGTATAAGCTGACCAGATTATCTGCTGAGGCACCTAAAAAATGTGCTGCATAACTCGACTTATACTCGCGTATATACGGCATTTCCCTGGCTTCTGTGAAAGGCTGAAATTGAGAATGAGCCTGAAAACAGGGAGAGTAGCTGGGAAACTGCTACAATGTTTAAAAAACAAAACAAAACAAAACAAAAAACCTGGAGGTGGCCACAGGACCCAGCAGTCGATGGATTTACAAGATATTTTGGATATAGAAACCACAGGTCCTGCTGATCTTGTTTGTGGGAATAAAAGAAGAGCCAGAATCCCCGGGTGCGTGGGGTAGACAGCACCTGCTAAAAGGAGGCTTCCCCTTGGGGTTGGGTAACAGTCTCATTGTCTACATGGATCTTCTACTCAGAAACTCTTAGGAAGTTCAGCAACTGGCTCTCACCTCACTGCCATGACAGCTACCAATGACCTCAGAGTATCAACCCTCCAGATGCTGAACTATCACTGATCCCACGACTCCCCACTTAAAATACCACCATGACTTCCTACTGTGAATTCCAAACCTTTTGGCTGAACACCAACAGCTCCTGTCCAAAGGGCACAGTGTCCTCTGATCACACAAGATGACTAATATTAGCACTTCCTTTGCACTGGCCAGTTTTCCATCTGGAATGCTCCTTCTTGCCTTATCCCTTCCTCTTCCTTTAGCACTTAGCTCCAGTGGGAAGCCTGGCTGGCCCAACTGGAACCAAGGGGTAGGTGAACATTAGCCCCCCAGGAATGGGACATGCTGACGTCGACAACATCAACTCTATTATATTTGTGCCAGAGAAGTAGAACCTGAATTTGTTACAAAGAAACAACAGACTCAGCCAAATGCAAACAGAATAGCTGGCCAGTACTCCTCAAAAGAATCAAGGTCATGGAAGACAAAGGTTGAGGGACCGATCCAGATTGAAGGAGTGTAAGAACACGACCACGGAATCCAACTGCGTGATCTGGAGTTGGATCCTGTGTAAGGAACAAAACAAACCACTAAGGGACACTGGATAGCATCTGAGTAAGCTTTATAGATTAGTCTGTGTGTCACAGACGGCATTTTTCACCCATCATCTGGTACCGACTAGAACTTATTTAGTGGACTAACAGACTGGAAAACAAATGACGGAAAGAAAAAAACACCCCTCCCAATCCCCTTCCCCCCATTTAAAGACTTACAGGCACGGCAGAGTCATCCTTCTCCATCTTCTGGCCCAGTTCTTTCTCTAAGCCTAAAACACAGATAGTCAGTTTTATGCTTATCCTAAGAGGTCAGTTCCTTCAGCCTCCTAGTGGAAGACTTGAGATTGCCAGTGCAGGCCAGAAAGGCAATATGAACACAGGAAAGGTATCAAGAATTTGAAAGGGGCGCTGGCATTCTGCTGACCACGGTGCTATTCGCTGTGTAGTCTACAATATTCCAAAGAAAGAGGAGTGCAGTTAGCCATCAACTAAGCACCAGCAATCCTCAGGTGGGACCAACAGCGAAGGCTGCCCTCTTGTGTTCATTGGACATTTTGCAAATAAGTCACACTAACCATGGCATTTTATGAGTTAGAACCCATTCATTAACACTGAATGCGATTTTACATGCTCTTTAAATTCCAGCCCTAAATGGTACTTTCAATCTAATTAAAGTAGCAGGTAAGAATGTAAGCTTTAGATTTCAATACTTGCAAAATGAATTCACTATCCTCCCCATGCCCTTCAGCTTGGCTTCCTTGCTATTCTACTACCAGGGGCAACAATGCCAACAAAATTAAACAATAAAACCCCAACAGGATGCTTTAAAAAAAAAAAAATTTTTTTAGGATGCTTTTTCTAATGAAGAGACTAAGTGCTCATTGCAAAACATTTGAAAATGCATTTTAAAAAGAAACATACAAACTCTTAAGGTTACAATCTTCCCCAGAACAATGACCAAATACTCTTGCAGTGCAATACCTGTCAAAAATTGCAAACAGGAATGGGACCTGCTCAAAATCCCTCCTCCCCCAAAGCTAGAAGATCAAGTCCAAATTCCTTAGTCTAACTTCATTTCCTATGTGCCCTGTACTCACAGAAAGCTTGGGGGCATCTTACCCAACAGTCTATTCCTTCTAAGCCCTGCAAGAGACTCACATTTATGTAAAGATCAAGAGCCAGCTCAGAAGTGATGGACTATCCCATGAAATCCAGTCGCCCCAGGCCCACAACCAGGACAGCTTTATCAGTCACAATGTAACAGTTTGTATAAATCCGTTCTGCCCAGAGATGGCCAGTTCCTGCAAAGCACAGCTAACTAGTTGCTCCAAGGACCTTGAGGACAGCACAGTATCTAACAGAACTCAAGCGCTAGCCATTGAAGGCATTTCTTCCTGATGTGGAATAATCTAACTAGTTCAGCAAATATTTACCATGTACCTGCTATATATTTGGCACCAGAAGGAATTCAAAGACAACCCTCTTGTAGTCCCTAAGCTCAAGAAATCTGTATGTTACTTTTCTGTTATTAATGGACAGCACGGGCGCTATGCAATGGGAACTGTCAGAAGAAATGTGGTGGGGGTACAAAGGACAGTGGGATCCATGTAACATGGGAGCAAGACCTACAAGAATGGGCGAGATATTATCCAGGATGGCAAAGAAAGGTCTTTCAAACAGAAGAAACAGCGATAGTTGCAAGTATACTCAGGATTAACTCCAAGTAACTGGGGCATCGAAGGCAAACCAAGCCTTTGGGAAAGATGACAAAGCAGAAGGAAGCTTTGGAAGGAAGCTGGGGTAGGGGTAGGGACCCGGAGCCTGGGGGACATGGAGACACCTTGCTCAGAGTCTTGACTTTCCACCTGCTTCCTTGGTTTGATGGCTGAGTATGTTTTGTTTTTCTTTAATGCCTTAGTATAAAATGCCTTGGTTTGTATCACATTGCTGAAAAGGACCTGTCTTTTCAACAATACTTAAGGCCACAGGAGTAATGTAGGATTTGGAAATGGGAGTTAGCTTTAGCTTGTTGTGAAGACTCCAATAGCAAGAGGGTCCAGCCCAGGTTAGTCTAGGTTCTTCACTAGAACGCTGGAAAGGACTCAGAGCTGTGGTCTGTTCCAATCCCCATCTGTGAGCAGGAAAATTGATAACCATTAAAAAAAGGAAGAGAAAGCTGTCAAGTCTAATCAAGGTGACCCTAATTTGTAATCATTTATCACAACATTTATAATAGTCTAATGTAATAGAAACAGCCTCTCCACACTTAGCAATTGTGGTTAAATATACATGCAATCAGACTGCTTGAGTTCCAATCATAGTTCTACCTGATAAATGCTTGCTAACTGATGTTGGGCAAGTTTACCTTCTGTGCCTCACTTCCCTTCTCTGAAAACTGGGGGAATACTACTATCCTGTGAGGAATGACTTACAGATGCATTTCAGAAAAGAGTCAAATGTACAACATGTTCATAGACCACTCTAAGAGAAGGCCACATTCAAATAAAATCACAAGAAAATTCAATCAAACTCATATATCAGCATCTCTTGGGCATCCTGCCACACTTACCCAATGTCCCTAGTACTCCCCTAACACCTTTTCTGTCTCTCTCTAGGTAAAGTAAGAGGCGAAGCAGAGATCAACTTCACGAATCTACCTATCAACTGATCCAATCTAAGACCCCTCTGGTTTCTGCCTTTCAGACATTGCTAAACCTATGTGCATTAGAAAGATGAAGATATACTTCCATACCTGCTTCTGAGGATGAAAACGCATGATTTATGGTAGACACAGGAACATTGGAACATTCAAAGTACTCCAGGTCTTCCTCTGGCTCACCTTTCACCTCGGGCCGGGCTGGCTTCTGACTAGAAGAGGTGGACGCCAGCTTCTCTTCATCAGTAGCATGGCCATCCCTATTGGAAATGTCGGAAATCTGGGAGAGCGCTGCTCCTTCGTCCTGGGCAATGCCACAGATAAAAAGACACTGTGAGTGTGGTGTTCCATTAAAATATATATATTTAAAGACTAGGCTGCCTACTTTGGAGGAAGGAGCTGCTAAAATCCTTATGCCCAGCTCCCAAGCATTGTCAGACACTGAAGGCCTAATGAATGGAAGCAGAACATTGTCGGAGACAGTGCCAGAGGGCGGGCCCCTGGGATCGACAGACCCCCCACTCGAAATATGACTGAGAAGAAGCTGATTTGTTTTTTCTCTAAATCTATTATCGTGAAGTTGTATATTGATCCTTTCGTGAAAATGTCCTTTCTCTCTTGTGGTATATTCTTTTTTATTCCTAATATTTTCTATTTATGTCTCTAGATTTTCTTTCTTTATTAAAAGATCACTTTATTGGGGGCTCTTACAGCTCTTATAACAATCCACACACCAATCATTTCGAGTATATTTGTACATATGTTGAATCATTATTTTCTAAACATTTACTTTCTATTTGAGCCCTTGGTATCAGCTCCTCTTTTTTCCCTCCCAGGAGCTGGTTTCTTGAAGTGGAGTCAACCATGGCCACTTAAGTCTCTCTCTCTTTCTCTCTCCAGATATATACCCACACATACATACATATATATGCACATATACATAAGACTGAAAAGTCAACACTTACATGAAACAAACAGGGAAGGTAAGGGGGCTGAGAAACTAGAGTACTGGAAACGAAACAACCAGACTGCAAGGAAGAAGGATGAAACAAGGGAAAATGAAATGAATGTCCCGGAACAATTTCTGTAGAAATTGTCAAATGAGGGAGGAACCGATCACAGGGATCTACATGTAACCCCCTCCCTGGGGGACGGACAACAGAAAAGTGGGTGGAGACATCGGACAGTGTAAGATATGACAAAATAGTACTAATTTATAAATTATCAAGGGTAGGGAGGGAGGGGGGAAAATGAGGAGCCGATACCAAGGGCTCAAGTAGAAAGCAAATGTTTTGATAATAATGATGACAACAAATGTACAAAGGTGCTTGACAAAATGGATCTATGTATGGATTGTGGTAAGAATTGTACAAGCCCCCAATAAAATGATTAAAAAAAAAGAAATTGTCAAATGAGAACCTAATTTGCTATGGAAACTAACCTCCCCAAATTTAACATACTAAAAAATTATTTTTATAACAACCTATTAAAATAATAAAGTATTTTTAAAAATTATTACTTTGTAGTATGGCAAACAACGACATCTTTGAAATGGGCCCCATTCTGGCCGGATGTTCAATACCATCAACCAGGATATATGCAAAACTAAGGAAAGGAGCTGGAGTCTTCCCATAAAACCAGGCTGTGTTGTTGGAGCCTATGTCTCTAATTGGAACACGAAGCTTTTCCGCCCTAAATTTGTTACCCAGGTAGTTCAAGTAGCAGTTCAAGACAGTGACTCTAAATTGTTTGCTTTCATATCTCCAACAATTTTCGTGAAGATCCATGTATCACATTGTATTTCAAGTGAAATCTAAGACTCTTAAAAAAAATCATTCTATTAGGGGCTCATACAACTCATCACAATCTGTACATACATCATTTGTGTCCAGCACATTAGTACACATGTTGACTTCATCATTCTCACACCTGCTTTCCACTTGAGCCCTTGGTGTCAGCTCATTTTCCCTCCTCCTGCCCCCGCTCCCCTGAACCCTTGATAATTTAGAAATTATTTTATATCTTACACCATCCAGCACCTCCCTCACCAACTTCTCCACTGTCCGTCCCCCAGGGAGGAGGTTATATGTAGACCTTGTCATCTGTTCCCCCTTTCTCCCTCACCTTCCCTCCACCCTCCCAATATCGTCTCTCTCCCCCCCCACTGGTCCTAAGGAGTTCATCTGTCCTGGGTTCACTGTATTTCCAGTTCCTATCTGTGCCAGTGTACATCCTCCAGTCCAGCTGGATATGTAAGGTAGAATTGGGATCATGGTAGTGGTGGGGAGGAAGCATTTAAGAACTAGAGGAAGATTGCATATTTCATCGCTGCTACACTGCACTCTGATTGGCTCATCTCCTCCCCCTTCTGCAAGGGGATGTCCAATTTCACCCAGATGGGCCCTGGTCTCCACTCTGTACTCCCCCTCATTCACAATGATTTTTTTTTTGGTCTTTGATGCCTGATACCTGATCCCTTCGATACAGGCTGGTGTGCTTCTTCCATGTGGGTTTTGTTCTGTTAGATGACCCCTTGTTTATCTTCCAGCATATGCGACCCCAGATTCTATGTAATTTGACAGCTTGGCACCATCAGCTTTCTTCACTGCATTTGCTTATGTACCCACTTTGTCTTCAGCATTCGTGACTCTTAATGTAAACTACCTAACTATACAGGATGTAATTCTTGTCCTTTTCTAAATTAGTGTTTCCCAAAGTGCATGATACTGTGCGTGTGCATGTGCATGTGCGTGTGCGTGCGCGAGCATGCTGGCACAATTCAGGGAGGCTGGAAAAAGAAGATAAGCAGATACCTAGACTTTTATCCTAGATCATGGGCTGCAGTACACAAGTTTTTAACTGCCAAGGAGCCATTTAATAGTTTTTTTTCCTTCTGAAAAGGGGTGGTAGGCCTAATAAATGTGGGTACCTATGGTCTAAATAATGGCTTTGCTTAATGCAATCTTGTGACCTGACACCCTGTGGCCCATATTAAATATACATAAATACGTACTTTAATGAACATTTTACCTAAGTCCTTTTCCTCTCTAAATTTTTATTTCCACTCCATCAAGAATTTACCCTAATGAAACACATTTGCATGTATAAAAGTCTTTTCACGGTCTTCTTGTTTTAGTTGTTTAAAATAGTTTAATTTTTATTAAATTTAGAAACTTTAATTCTGAGACAATTAAATGTTAATTTTTTCCCCTCCTAGAAGTTATCATTAAAAGTACTAATGTACAATTAATTTAAATATTAATGTAAATTGTGTTAAGCACCATCAACACAAAAGCAAATTTGTGTTAAAAATGGATCTTGCAGTTGAATGAGTAATGGTTTTTGTGTTTCCTACCTAGTTCATGGGCTCAGCATGACAAATATTATTTCTTACTACAAAGAAGAAATGATTAGCACTAGTTATATTTTCGCAGTTTTCATTCCTACCATTAAAACCAATAGGAAACCTATGTTAAGTTATGTAGCAAAACACTCTATCATCAACAGCTATTTTTAATGGTCTATCAGTTGACATGAGGCGCCCTGGTGGTGTAGTGGTAATGAGTAAGATGGCTAATTGCAAGATCAGCAGTTTGAAACCACTAGCTGCTCCAGGGGAGAAAGGAGTCTCAGAAACCCACAGGAGCAATTCTACCCTGTCCTACAAGTCACTAGGGGTTCACATCAACTCGATGGCGTGAGTTTCTATCAGCTGTCAACTCAAGTCCTCCGAGTTTGTTGAACTGGAAAATCATTTGACTTAGTCTGAGGCATTGCAGCAGCAGGTACAGACTTACCTGAGAACATGAATCCAGAGCAAGAGACTGAGTTTCACCTTTCTTCACCTTACAGCCACTCCTGGAAAAAAAATCAAGAGGTCGGTCTGGGGTCACGGGTGCACGTCTGAAGCATGGGATGGAGCAGAGCTAGCAGTATGTGCAGGTAGAAGCTGAAGCATACAGCGCCGCACAAGTCACACATCTACAGACTCGGGATGGAAACACCTCTCAAGCGTCTGAGGCGTTTCCTTCTGAGGGACAGGTTAAGCAGGGCACTACAGCGGGGCTCCTTCTCCCAATAGGCCCCCTTGCTGGCTTCTGTGATGTCAAACACCGAAGTAGACTGAGCCCACTGGTTGGTCACACACCATCAAAAAGCATACAGGGAGCAGCCCCAGCATCTACCGTGCCTCCATTCGTCCCAGCCTCACGTGCTTAGCTTTGACATTCTTTAGTGAAATCACCACACTTGACCAGATTCTTTAAAAGTCCTTTATTGCACTAAAAGCCACCAAAGTCTGGTAAGACTGCTCCCGCCTAGACCTGAGTGCTAAAAGAGAAGAAGGTGAAAAAGCAAACATATTTTTGTAAACCATGATCATGGCTAGTGAGTCAGCGATGGAAGAGACACACCATGTTTCGTGATAAGCCCAGAACTGGGGAAAGCACAGACCACCCGGGGACATTTAGATCAATACACGATTGGTGATTGTAGGGTAGGTTCGGAGTCTGTAGCTTTAACAAACTCAGAATTGTCGATGAAAATACCATGCCACCAAAAATCAACCAAACAAAAATTGTTTACATCTTTGTGCTGTATGTGTAAAACTAAAGCCAAGCACCCAGTTAGCAGATAGCGCATACCGGTGACCAGTTCTATCTTCTTTCCCTAATGCTCTTATTAATCAGGGCTACCTCGCCACAGACAGACTGAGTTTCCTCTGTTCAATAGACCCACTACTTTAAGACAGCAACAACCTGATCTTAGCAAAAAGCCAGCCATTCCCCCACATTAAATAACAGAGTAGTCCCTCAAGCCACCACGACGATGCTCTTTGGATTGGGGGTAAGCCAGCACTTGGTCTCTGCAAAGTGCCACGTGATGTGTGCCAAGCCGGGGAGCGCAAGCTCTTGCACCTAAGGTGGGCTGGTCCCCGCCCCTTTAGGTACAGGCAAATGCAAGGCTGAGCTGACTCATGATGTGGCAAATGAGATGCAAAAAAACCATCAGGTCAAACTCAGAAATGGAAGCCACATGCCATGGAGGGAAGGACTGGGGACAAGTCAGGGAGAACATGGTCCACAGACCCAGAGACAAAGAGAAACAATGGCGGGAGTACTTACAACAGAAAACAGAGAAATTTCACTTGTTCAGTAGTCCTGAGGCACCAACAAAATTAGACAGGAAAGGGACAGATGGAGAAAAAAAATCATGTGAAGACTGGAATATTTTCCTCCAAGTCTGATCGATGTAAAGTTTGTAAAGTTCTTTCTGTGAAGTGATATACAAATTTAAAATGGCACTATTCATGCATGCTACCACTGGTGAGTGAATGACTCTTGGGAACATGCACTCTGAAAGCTCTCAGAACGTGGTGGACACACTCAGGGCTACCACACAGACTTAGAGATGGAAAGAAAACGTCCAAACACCTGTAACTGCATAAAAATAGTATTTCACTGTTGAGAACATTTACTCAAATATATTTGGTTATTCAGGTCATGTATAAATAAAAATAGGCTTGAACATACGAGGAGCCTTCAAAATGCTCATGGGAAAGTTCAACTACCTTTTAATTACATTTTTCTGCAAGTTTTTTGAAGCCCCCTTATCTATCTGCTTTTTCCCTAGGTGTTTATCATTATGATGCTTAAAATGATTTCATAGTTTACCTTACTGTGTCTGCACAACTCTAATCATATTATGGGGTCCCCATTTTACAGGAGAATCTGAGAAGCCACACACACAAACCAGTAACAGAACGCCTATCCCCCCACTGGATCCTACCACCATGTGTTTATTTCCTGTCTTCCCTACAAATGAAAGGCTCCACTAGCCCAAATCATGTCACACAGGATTCTACCCCTCTCTCTGCAGAGAGGAAAAGGAAACAGGAGTTTTGATTGCACAGTCATTAAAGAAGGGGTGGGGTGAAATCACAGGATCTATCAGATCAAGAAGTTCATTCATCAAAAACAAAATAGGAGCAAAATGCTGCTTCTTAGGTGAGAGTGAGAGAATTCAAAAGAGTACTCTGTGTTACTGAATGAAAAGTGAGGAATAGATTTCCCTGCCTTTGATCCTGATTGAATATTACTATTCACAAGCATGGATGCCCTGGCTATGTATGCACTCCTACATGCTCACAAAGGAAGGTTGTCAGGTGACTTTGTTGGTAGGCAGAGGCATCCTAGAATTAGAGGAAGCAGCATAGCAGTGCCCAACACACACCCCAAGTGCTGCCCAGATATAGCGAGCTAATCTTAAAACCTGCAAGAGAACACTTGGGGGATATTGATCAATAATCTTTATCAGCAACTGTTTCACTGTTCATATGTAATCCAAGCTCAAGGATCAGATCAAGAGCTACTGATTGCATTCCATTCCCCGAACATACACCCGGGGGCTAGTCGACTGCTGCCTAAGAGCAGCCTGCCACACGGTCAGCCTTCTTGGTCCTAACACTGGCCTCACTGCCATCGAGTCAATGCCGACTCAGTGACCCTAGTAGACAGGGTAAAACTGCTCCTGTGTTTCCAAGACTGTGACTCTTTATGAGATCAGAATGTCCTGTCTTTCTCCATAGAAACAGCTGATGGTTTCAAACTGCTGACCTGTCAGATCGTAGTAATGCCTGTCCCACCTGGGTGCACTAAAATGAGTACTTCTTTTTGAACCTCTGGAAATGTCACATTCTCTCCGATACAATTCACCAATCCTGCCAGCTGGCATTTTTGTTATACTTAGGGTGAAAAGTGTTTTCCAACTGATGGATAGCACCACCACCACAGCGGTTGCTAAGGAGGAGATTCCAACTCCAGGAGCCCCCGTGTGTGGAGGGCAGAACTGCTGCAGCGGGTTTCATGCTGTGAACTTTGGAAAGCAGGTGGCCAAGTCTTTTCTTCCGAGCATCGCATCACTAAGGTTTCCATTGCTAGCTCATTTATGCCACCCCGTGACTCTATCTATAGTGACAACTAAAAGCATGGTATGTGATACTTCTTTCTCATTCCTCCTTTTCATATTTCACCTTCCAAGTCACTGGGCTTTCTTTATATCTATTTTTAAGCAAAAAAAGTCATAGGGAACAAAGGGACATACTGTTTCCCACTCGGCTTCATTATTGTGATATGGTAACCTTATAACAAAGGCATCCTACTGGCACAATGGTTAGAGCCTGAAGCTTACAGCCTGGGAAACCCTCTGAGGTCTTTCTACTCCGGCCTATAAGATTGCTATGAACCTGAATTGACAAGACAGCACTGGATTTACATTCCTAAGAAAATTAAAATGACACTTGCTCCCAGCAGTTACTCTGCAAACTCCACAGGCCACGCAAAGGAGGTGGCTCCACATTTCCCATGAGAAAAACTGATTGTTAGGAGAGGGCTTGTAGACTGTATACAATAAAATACTAATTTATCAGATGTAATCATTCCTGACGCTTACTGGAGATGAACCACCTCGCTGATGGACCCACAGACTACAGAACGAGTAGAACTCTCACCAACAACCAGTGGAGCAGCTTTCTGTGTAAGTGGGAAGACTCGGAGGTGCCCTTTACGGCCATTTTCCTCATGCTACTGATGCTAGACTTTCTGTTTTATCTGAGTATGATGGCTACCACCGACAACTTAGATTTTGCTCACAAAAGGAATTCTAACAGCCCAGATGGGATTTCTGAAAACCATTGAGTCTTGATCTACTCATCTCACTCTCTCTCTATTTAATAGGAAAAAGTTACCCAGGGTGGGTGGGGGAGAGGCAAAGATTAGGATTCTCCAAAATAAGGCAGCAATCTAAAACTGACACATATGCTATCTCTGATCCCACACAACAGTTCTAAACAATGTTGTAAGCTTTGTGTCCGCCCTGCTGTGCCTCAAAGATACAGTCAGTTCCCTGGACTAAAGAGAGCTGGCTGCCAAGCCCACAGAGAATACACAGAACACACCACCACCCAGCACCCATCGCCACTCACGTTATTAAACGCGACTTTGCCTTCTTGGGTGATTCTAAGATTTCATTAACATGATTACCAGTGGAAGAACAAAAGTCGTCGCTTGTTAATGTTGTAGTTGGTTTAAAGGGATCCATGGACTCATCAAAGTTATCTGGATCAAAGTGATAGGAGCCCTGGGAGGAAAGGGGTGGGGAGTCTTGCAGAGAGCGGCCTTCAAAGGGATTAAAATTGGGGTCATCCCACTGGCGAGGCTCCAGCTTAGACGATGCGTGGGGGGCAGGAGGATCTTCTGCTTTGGGCTCTGAAGGCTGGTCTCCACCTTTGGCACCTACTGGTTTACCGACACCATCTTTCTGTGTCTTGGGAGTCAGTTTGTTACCCAGCTTCCGGCCCAGTTTCCTTGGAAGGGCTTTCTTGGTCTCTAATTTGTCCACATCTTCTGTGAAATCAAACTCCAGTTTCAGAGGGGAGCCTCTAGACTCTTCTGGCAACTCAACCCCTGATTCATTAGTGTCATTGCTGAGAGTGACTGAAGTCTCTTTTGCTTCCGTGGGAGATTTCTGGATCCTGGCGTCTCCGGGCAAAGAATTTGTGTTCCCGTCCATTTCATCCACACTGACTGGATAGGATGCTTTGGGGAGAGAGGTGCCCTCCAGCACAGCTTCAGTTTCAGAGACCTCTGCACTATTCATTTTCTTTCTCAGGAAGACAGGCTTCGGCTTTCTTAGCTTGCTTCTGGTGGGGGCTGGCTCTGAACCGGAGATTCCAGTCTTTAGATCAGCTTCTGTGGCGGCCTCAAGTGTAGCTCCCATGTTGCCATCTGTCATTGCCTTGTCCCAGGTGGCTTCTGGTATACCAGAGGGCAGAGGCCCCTCCAAGATTGCAGTTACAAAGCCATGAGACGTATTTGTCCCAAAAGCCTTGGGGACATCTGCAGAATCCTTGGTTTCTACTGAAAATGGCTTCACTATGGAAACTTTGCTACTATCATGTTCAGGTTCTTCTTTGAAATCCTTGACTGGGTGAGAAACAAGGGCTGTTTGTAGTGCCCCATTTTCTGAGGGTTTAGGGCATGTCTTGGATGAAAATTTTTCAGCCACTTCTGCTACCAGCTGTTCATCATCTTCTTGTGATTCTAAAATAAAAACAAAACAAAACCGACTATTATTAAAGAATTACTTTTTTGGCATTGCTGAATATTCTCTATTAACTAAGGGCAAACTGTAAGGTCTACCTGCTTTGTTTTTATTAAGCGTCTTTAAAGTCTGACACAAGGAGCCACACTGGATTACATCGTGTTGGGGTGCTAACCACAAGGTCAGCACTTCAAACCCACTAGCCTCTCCAAGAGAGAAAGATGGGGCTTTCTTCTGCAAAGGTCTACAGCCTGGGAAACCCACGGGAGTTCTCCTCTGTCTACAGGGTTGCTAAGAGTCCCAATAGACTCGACGGCAGTGAGTTTTGGTAGGTCTGGCACATCAGTCCCTGGGTAGTACAGAAACGGTTATTGTGTTTGGCTGCTTGTTAACTGAAAGGTTTGCCATGAAAGAAGGACCTGCAATCCACTTAAAAAACAAACAAAAAAACCAGCCACTGAAAACCCTATCAAGCACAGTTCTACTCGTGGGGGCCATTCATGGGGTCACCAGGTGTCAGGATCAACTCGACTGCAGCTGCTCTGTTAACATTCAGCCCGAATGGCAGCACAACCTCCAAGAAAGCAGCTTGTACTAAACCCTACGCTAAATATGTCGTACCTCCACTGGTGTATGGCTCATTATCCAAGGGACATGGATGGCCATTATAACAAGCCAGCTAGGAAAGGACTAAACATGCTCAACTGTCAGGTATATTAATGTGTTGTCAACTATATGGATAAGATGTCAAAATTTTAAAAGTTAACGTTGGTCTGGAAGAATCTTCAGATACCAACTGCCTAATGTTTTCATGGTCAGAATTTCTTGCAGAAAGCAGATTTGAAGCTTTTGCTTTATGTTTTGGTTTACTTTTGCTGTTGTTGAGAATAGATACAGCAAAATACACACCAATTCCAGCTTTTACATGTACAATTCAGTGACACTAATTATGTTCTTTGCTTGTGAA